CGGCAGAAACCCGCCCAGTTTGGGGAGACCGTTGAATGGTTCTAACAAATTGGCTTCTTTGGGATGTGTCAAGAACTGAATTGTCCTTTGGTGCAAGCTCGAAGCCGCTTGCTAGAACCTGCTTCTGACACGTTTTCCAATTGTTCCTGGTGAACTTGGAGTCTGGCATAGTCTTGCAAAATTACAGAGGGTTCCAGCAGGATACATCCAAACATCATCTCACGCGCCAGGATCCCTTCCTAAGCTGTTAGTGCAAGGGACCCCATTCGGCCACGGCTTCCAGGCCTTGCAGGTCGAACCCGGGCAGTGGGTCCTCGCTCTGGACTTGCCCGACCTGGCAAAACCAAAGTTGCGCTCACACCCACCCAGATACCTCCTATGTGCGGATCTGAGGAATCTGTATTTGACGAACTCGCTTAAGCCCGAACCCTTAAACTTGAGGTACTTGGACTCGGGTTGCCCAAGGGCCCGGAAAATAGAAGGCTAACCTTTTGGAACCTTGACTTAGAATAGGTCAAAAGGGGAAAACAAAAGGTACTACAGGCTTGTGGTTGCAAGTGGGTACCCACTTTTACAATTCCTCGGTCAAGCCACAATTTTGTAGAAACAGCTACGAGGCCTGCTATCTGAGTCCAATCGCGTTCAAAGCGAATTTCCCTGGGCAGAGGTGATTTGCTCCAGGGAGAAATATGATGATCGACCCTGAGCAAAAGGTCTGCAATCCGTTTGCAGGTTTAAGGAAAATCCATTTGTGACCGAAAGGTGAGGGGCGCTTGGGGTCACGCCAAAACTCCGTGCGCCCGGAGCCAATCGCGCGCCTCGGCCTGCAGCTTGGGCGCCTCCACCAGGGCCACGTCCGCGGCCTGGAGGAAGTTTTGGTCCCCCACCAGGCCACGCACCTCGGACGCAGGCGACCGCTTTCTGGAGACCCGCAGAGGTGCTGGACCTTGAGGTGTTGCTGGGTTTCTTGCACGGTTTGCGCGATTTTCACGGGTGGGAAAGAAGAAAAATCTTCAAGGAAGCGGCATTGAGCTGGATCTAGCCCTACAAGTAGCTTGTTCTTTTGAGTTTGTGCAGAACCCTGCTCACGGAAGAGGACAAGCCTTTGCAAGAGGACAGTCTTGCAAATGCCTGGAAAGAGGGCAAGGAAGAGAGAAAACCCCAGCCTCAGCCAAGGACGCACACGAATGAACAGCTTGGCCTTGGGCCTTAATTAAATGTTTCGTGAGTCGGAAAACGTGCGAATCGAAATTGACAAGAGCGAGTGGCGTTCTCTTTCCTACATGTTGAAACGCTCTGAAACACGTGGTTCTTAGTCTGGCCGATTTGTTCAAGGCAACACTAAGGTCAAACTAAGCACCCCACAGAAGGCCTGCCAAATGCGAGGCCAAGGCACTGTCTCTGGCAGTTCTAAGAGCTCCATGATCCGCTCACAAAGGCCAAACTCGGGGTCCACCTCGCTCACCTCCCCTGAAACGCATGCGGGGCTTTGTTCTCGAAACGGAACTTCTGCCAGTTGCCACAGGTTTTACATGAGCCCCTTACCTTAGGAAACCACTCTGCATACTGCTCACCAAGGTGACACCACAACTGGCACGTTGATGCATCTTGCGTAAGCTCGGCAACGTCGTGAAAGACTAAGAACTGCGACGTGTCTCTCCTTCTGAAATCTTTCTATACTCAGTAAATCCAGTGCGTCTAGCATTCGAATCTATGACTTAAACATCTAGCTTTCTAAGTTGCGGCCGTGTTGAGTTAGGGTGGCGTTGAAAAGGAGGAATCAACGGCGCCCTGATCGGCCTCCATTCACGTACAGTCATCGGGCGATGTGAACGGCACGAACCCCAACGACTGTGAAATAGGCGTGTACATCAAGTGTTCCAGTTTGGAGTTTGACCTGTGCTGCGCCGAGTCTGCTCTCAAATGATACAGTTCTCTGTAACAAATGCAACAGTCTGCAAGTTTCAAACTTTAGGTCCGAAAGAAAAACCTTCATGAAGAGAATGGAACGTCTCCTCTTGGAATGAAAGAGTTTAGGGTGAGCCCTACTGCTGTCCTTGAACACTGCATCCCTGCAAGCCATGATGCAGAGATCCTTGAACAATGACAGGAGTGGCTTTGCACACGCTGGACCCCAGAATGGTAGTTTTCCTTCTGGTTCCCATTGACAGCAACCTACCCTGAAAGAAGACAGCCGCATGCGAAATTGGGCTTCCGGGCCTGGTGGAGGTTTGGCTGCAAGCTCGCGCCTAAGCTTTCAATTTGCCAATGAGTTGCCATGCCGTGCGCCCTGGTCGAAAACCGGGAAACCACGCAAAGCACGGCAGCTGGATATCTGCAGCATAAAATCTGGGGGACTAGGGTCACACACACACATAAACAAAATATATATCGTGGTTGTTCTACATTTCTCCCCCCGGTGGTCTCCGAATACTAAAGGATTTACAAGGACCTTTACAAAGACTTCCATGCTTTCTGCATACACACAGACATACATTACATTACATTGCATTACATTACATTACATTACATTACAGTACAGTACCATACATTACCAATACAATACATTACATTTCATTACATTACATTACATCACATTACATTGCATTACATTACAATACACTGCATTGCATTGCATGACACCACCATTACATTACATTCCATTTCTTTTCATTACACTACACTACACTGTACTACATGATATGACATTACATACATACATTGCATACATACAAGGCTTTGTCACCAGAAATCAAAAGAGGCCTAAAGAGGCCTAGCAATATTGCCTGTTACTCACAGCCTTCAGCCATTACTCACAGCCTTCAGCCATGACCTTGGACAAGCCTCTCTTCAGGCCCGAAAGTTGCTGCGACTAGAGGAAAGAGCTGGCAGCCGAATCAGGTCAGGTTTTGACCACCCAGACCTAAGTTGCTGCTTCAAACTTACATGTTGAACGCCCCCCTCCCCCATTCGCAAAGTTGTATGACTCTGGAAGTATGCTCTCGGCTTTCGCCGCTCTGCGCTGCTTGCATTGCAAGGCGCATATCGCTGATCAATGTCTCGAGCTTCTCAGCTCCCTGGGCTACCTGCACCGCACCTAAGATGGATACCAATGGCCACATGGCAATTTTAGACACAGGTCAAATCAAACAGATCAAACAGGCTTCCTGAAAAGGATGCATGTTGGCCATGTTGAAAACTACCTTCGACAGCTGCTTCAATGGCTTCCTGCATGCGCCCAAGTGGTTTTAGCTGTATCCTTCAAGGAACCCCGTGAAAGCTACTGCGCACACAACATATAATGGCCTCGTGTTTTCCACGCAGCTGTCAGCAAAGAGCTGTCATTTGCACATTGGCAATTGCAAATATAACTGCATACAATTCCCCCCACTTTTGCAATTGAAGGCTGTGAAAGCACAAGCGGCTTAAAGGATGCAACACAAGCAGAAATACTTATGTAAGAGACGTCAAGTGGAAATGCGGGCCAAGCAACCACGTGTCCCACAAACTTCTCACACACACACACTCTCTCTCTCTCTCTCTCTGTCTACACTTCTCACATGTAGAACGCCATGCAGGCCAAACAAAGAACCAAGCCAACCAGAACCAAACAAAGCCTACCGACATTCCAAACAATCCGCCCGAGCTGCAGTCTGACATGGCCCGGATGTGGTCGGAGCTCTCCAGCACGCTGCGGTAATGATCCCCCACCAACTCCCGAAGCTCCGTCTTCTTGGTTTCCACCTCGCGAACCCCGGCCCAGAAAGGCGCGCTGGTGATTATCACCAAGGACCGATCTTCTTATGTGGTCATGACTTGCTTCGCACAGGCCCCATTCTATCTGCCTACGCTCTTTTATTGTACCCATCAGCTTGCACGCGCCGTACCCAAAACATCGATGGAAAGATGTTTCGTTGCCATGCAACGGAAGATGTGTCCCATTTCCACGACCAACTCCCAAGCTGTAAAAATAACACCTCCACGGCCCATCTCCGCCCACCGCCCCTTTGAAGGCAAGGCTTGCGTACTCTGATCGACTGCGGGGGGAAATCGATCCACGATAAGGCACTGCTGTTTTTGGAACTGACATCAAACGCCTGGTCCCTCAGGCAAACTACACCCACCGCAAAAGTCAGCGCAAATATGCACACAAAGCCGCATGGGACGCAGCATGCCAAAATGCCGGTTTTTAAGCGCTAGTTTGGACCTCCTGTGTGTAAATATCCTAGAGGTCGCACTAGGTCACTAGCATGTTGCAAATGGGAAAAGCATTGAGTGGGAGCAACAAATCCTCTATGAGACGCCACGGCGCCGGAACAAATCCCGAATGAGACTCAGGAAGCAGCGCCACCAATAACATGTTTCAACAAGGACTCCGGGCAAGGTCCCGAACGAGGTAGCCAAAAGCATCAAAAAGCAAGCTCACCCAAAACCTCGCCCACACTAGGACGCCAGCCGCACTGACTTCCCCAATCAGTCCCCCGCATGCCCACTGCCCACCTCGGAAAAACTACAAAAACAAACAACAACTATTGCTCAAACCCCAATCCCACCAACAAAGCCCGCAGGGGAACCCCCAGTCGCCTCTGCGCGAGTCTTCTGCAAGATGCCATGGATCTCCTGAAGGCTCTTCCTGAGGCAAAACGCATCTTTCTGTGAGGCAACCATTGAGAAGAACCTTTTTTCGGGCAAACCAGCATGAAACCACCCAACATTGCGACCCTAAACAGGGCCCAAAAGATACAAACAAATCCTGCTAATGCAAATGGGCTTTGGATGTATCCTTTACGAACCCTGTTGACTCCACAGTTGCAACCACTGACCAAAAGGCAGAAAAAGGAAGCCAATTTTGAGGGGTTAACCATGGACCATGCCCGCCAAACAACATGGATTTCGGTACCGGCGGTACCCTTTTGAGGAGTTCAACCATTTGAGGACGCGCTTTTTGAGCGTTGTCTTTCAGGGAAAATCAAGGAACCACCATTTTGGGGATCCCACGGTTTGAGGTTGACCCGATTTTCTTATTGGGTGTCCCGGCCCCTTGTAGGAAGGACACTGCATCACTCTTCGGGGATTGATGAATCGGGGACATGAGACAAAAGCCGAGGGATTCGCGGCACGTCAAACATCACATCGCGAAGTTGCACCTGACAAGGGCATTGCGTTCCCTTCAAACCAAATGCTGGCTTCCCGTGGGAAAAACACAGACTTAGGCTGAAGTGGAGGTTGCTCAAAATAGGGGACCCCAATAGTGGATTTAGTTTAAGAACCCCCCCCCCCAAGGTGGCCCTCTTTACATGGAAGTGGACAGGGCCTCGTGGAGATGTTTGAGCTGTTAGCTAGGACTGTAAACAAGATCGCTTATGTGTGACTCCCACGGGCGCTACACGGAAGCCCCTTCTACAACTCGAGTGTGTGTTCGACACAATGTGCACAACCTCGATGAAGCGGAGCTTTCCTGAGGATCGAATTCTATGCCATTGCCATTGGCCACCAAGCATCTGTCTGAAAAGGTCATCGATCGCAGAGCTGGGCGCCATGTCTCCATTTGGCTCATCAAGCCAAGGCTGCGGGCCATGTGTGTCAATCTTCAATTCCCAAACATGAAAGAAGGGGCTCCCAAATAAGGAACCTACAGAGCGAGCGAGCTCGGCAAGCTCGACACATTTGTTTTGCAAAATAAGCAGGTTCTTAGCCAAAGAGTGACTCTCAGGAAAATACTCCGAGATCAATGGAGCTTTCTCGAGGAGGAACTGACCTGGCGTTGCCCTACTCCTCAGTCAGTGTCATTTCACTCAGGCCCAAGATCCCTCTCTTCTTCCCTTTCAAACTTCTTTTGCCATTTGACAAGGACGCACAAGCTGCTGGCACTCATCTCACACAAGATGGCCGCCATGGTGCAAAATAGGCTCCATCTGCAACACATCCGTAATGTTTACAATAAGCTGGCAGGATAGACAATCCTAATCCGTAGTCCCAAGAGGGAGACCACAAAGGGGACCTGTTGCGCAACCCAAGAAAGCATCTAGGATTGATTGCCTTTGAACAGCCCATACAATAAATCCGAAACCTGAAGCAACAAGTCCTGAAAGGATAAACACCCTGGCTTCTTCCGGGGGGGTTGCGCCCCATTTCAGCCAGCTGACCTTTACTTCCGCTTGGATGCTCTTGGCCGAGCCTCTGGAACTGTGAGGCTTGGCGCCGGTCTTACAACTGCTCAAGCATTCTTTGTCAATGAAGGAAGCGCAGGGTGACAAACCACGGATAAGGTGCTTTATTTCAGGCAAGGGAGCAGGGCCAAGTCTCTAACCTGCACCATCCATGAAAGGCAACCAGGTCTCACTTGGCATCAATACAAGTGAGATAGACATACATATATTATCATATATATATATATATGTGTATCCGCGAAAGTGTAGCCATTGTCGGCCATTTCTTGCTGCCTACGGGTTGAGGTCGCGACAGCTTCCAGAGCAACGATGTCAGTCGACTGGTCTGGTTGAGAAGAATACTCAACTCGACAATGCTAACATATCCCTTGGGAACCACTTGTCAACAAACAAGCTGAATTGACTCACCCCAATCCAACAGAAATTGACTCAAAGAAATCCACACCGAAGCACCGGTCTCCGGTTTTGGCTGAGCCAAGTGCGTGCAAACCTCTCGAGGGGCGTGTTGCCCTCCAGCGCGCAGGCGCGTACACCTAAGGGCGCGCTGCCCAGGCAAGGGCTAGACCCCCTACAAAAACCGAAACTTGTTGCTGGCCGCAAGGAAACACAAAGGAAACCAAAAGGAGAACAAGTAAAATAGGCAAGCAAAAGTCTGGCAAATCTGCTATTTAGATAGGAATCCAGAAGAACCTGCACTGCCTGCAGGTGTTCAAACAGCACTTGTGCCAGCATGGTGAAGTTGTCAAACCTCCAACTTACTTCCCTTGTTGCAGGTGTCACTGCAAAAAATAGGTCATCTAGTCTATCGATAGCATTCTCTAATGATTGGTCTGTTGTCACTGCATGGGGCCAGGATGTGATATGGGTCTCAGAATCCCATCAGACTCCAGCATCGGGCCACTCCCTGGCTGGTTCAATTTGCGTAAAGCAGTCCCCAAACAAGTCAGAAAATGACTGCGTGTCGGATTTCAGGCCCAAAAATATCTGAAGGCACAGTTTATGAGCTCTGTCTGCTGTTTGGACTTGTATGTAGGAGCACGTGACCAATAAATGCGACGGCATGTAAGCCCTATGGTTGTCAAGGGCCGCAAAAGGGGCTCTGCAATTTGGGTCCATTATGCAGGGGGATGCCTGACAACCACACAAAAAACTGTCACGATTTAGCACAAATCTATGAGTACAGACTGCCACTGACTGGGTGCCCAGCGTGTCCGCAGGTCCCGCCTTAGTGCAAGCGCGACTTACTCCATTCCCCCTGGCCACCAGTGGCCCTCGTAGCTTTGGCACCGGGGACTCGTCTTATCCTCTCCCAACAAATCCGCCCAAGTATGGATGCATGATTTTGCCGGACTCTGAGTTGTGTAGGGGAGCAGTTTCTTAGTGGGGGACAAGGTTAAGAAGTTGGCTAAGAAATCCAGCCCAGAAACCGAAATGGACGCTAAGAAACTCAGCCTCCCGGGGATCCTGCACCAGTTGGGGTGGATGAAGACCTACAAATACTGGGGCAAACAAAAACACCTACCGCGAAATGGATTTCACTCCACAGTCTGCAGTAGGTGGTACATGCAGCGCTTCTTCTCTTTCTTCTACCGGGGGAGGGGGGCACGACTGGACCCTAGGTCAGCTCGGGAGCCGGCGACATGCTCTGGACTCGCAGCTTGGCCAAGGGTTAGACTTCCGGCGATAGCGGCACCATGTGGCACCGTTGCTCTCAAAGTAGTTGGTCCCCTCACATGGCAACGGCTTCCTGGCCCCGCTTGAATACCAAAAGGAGGTTTTCCAGGACCGTTCTGAAAAAACCCTGCAGTCAAGGGTAGTTCAAGGCCCTCATGTAAAGGCTGCAAATACTTGGCAATCATGTTTTGCGCATGTAAGCCTTACCGCTGCAAGAGTCCGCGTTCATCTCAACGCTTGCAGCTAGCAGCTCACCCCTTTCAGTCGCTTCATTCTGATGCCGATTCGCCTCCCAAGCCTTTCTTCCACTTTCGCTACCTCTCTCTCTCTCATGCCATCAGCCTCCGTCCCTGGCGTGAAGAAACACTTGGCCAAGCAATACCAAGCAACGTGACTCAACACCGCTCGTGCTCAGTAGTTGGAAAATCCACCATCACGACGCTGCTTGGATCAACTACCTACATCTTCTTTGGAGTGCAATGAGGGCCACTAGCCCAAATGAAACAAAACACAACAAGGCAGAAATTACCATTGCTGTTTTGATTTAGTGATTCAAAGCAAGTAGTTGGTAATTGTCGGATTGCAAATCTTCTCACGCGTCGCGGATGCGGTGGGCCTCTTTCTTGACGCTTGCACTCAAATTCACTTCGAATTGCGACCTCCGGTTGAATGCCAGGTGGCAGCTACTAGGTAAAGCAAGTCAAAACGCTTGGAACATAAACCTCTGCGACACCTGTGATCAGAAGGTCGTCGGGCCTTGGAAGGCACCTCTGGGCAAGACACACGAAAAAACTCAATCAGCCTCTGGGGGAATGAAGCCCACGCAATGTGCCCCACTGTAACACAGGGGGTCTTGCCAAGGTTTGTAATTTCCTTACCGCCTGCACTCGAGTCTTGCAATTTCGGCATCATCCCCCAGCTGCATCCCTAATGCATTGGACAATGCTAGCCACGCAATCAACACACAAATTAGCCCGTGGGTGCGACTACCACCATGAAAGCTGTCAACCGTTTGCCATGCAACCCTTTCACAGCAAACATAACACCAAACCACAAGACACGTTCAGGCAGAACTTGCAAGAAGTGGCGCACACGCGCACATGCAGGTTGCATCCATGTCTGAACCAACTTGTCTGAGGACGTTGAGCTTGGCCTCACATGGAGAGCAATCGTCCGTGACCTCAGTCTGCGCCATCTCCCCTCAGGTGGCGATGAGGCACTTAGAACCCCAAATTGCAAGGGCCTGCAAAACAACGCTCGCCTCTCCAAAACGCCGCCTTGCCACGATTGCAAAGCTCCACAAGAACTTGGGTAGCATCATGAATTGCTGTGAAAAACGGCTCGCTTGCAATCCGTTTCAAGACCGGGAATAGGAAAAAGCGACAGCCCAAAAGGACACGTGAACACAAACCTCAAAGGCTCAGGGCAGTGCCCGAAGGCCGGCTATCCTGGCTAGGTGCAAGGTGTGCGACGGGCACTTTACGTTTCAACGGCCTCAAGTTGGGAGGTGACCTTCATTGGGGAACCGATTGTGCCGAGGGTGAGCGAGGCAGCGCATGCTAACCAGCTCAAAGGTGACCAAGCAAGCTTTCGCCAGACCCCTTTCAACGCGAAACCTGTGTGTATGTGTGCGTGGGCTAGGCGGTCTGAAAACTCAACCAAAGTACCTCTATTGTTTTGGGAAAACTTGGAGCGTCTAGCACCCAAATCCGTCAAGATCCTGCCGGACCGCCCTTGGCCAGTCTAACATGCGCAAAGCCATGCCTTCCCCAAAGACCACATAGTGGCTCTAAAATGGGACATTTATCCATCGACTTTTGGTGTCCTGTCTCTCCTGGAGGCAACAGTCACTCGGAAGGGAAGACAGATGCTGATGTCTCAACGGGTTTCAAACCTTCACCTTTTACTTCGCATTCGTAAGGCTAGCGGCTAGCTTTTGAGGCAAAAAAGAAGTGGTAAACGCGGTGGCAAGATCGCGATCAATGGACTCTTGCAACCGACAAGTGCTGCTTCCGTGAAACAATGTGTGGCACAGGACATCGGGGCTTCGCAAAAGTTGGCAGCAGGTGTCGTTGACGATTCACGCACTGGAGTTTGTTTGTCCTCGCCTTAGAGCAAACTTCCCGGCGGGATGTGTTTCCCCAGTTCCTGTCAAAGCAAGCGGCGCAGTGGATCTGCGGCAAATAGCGCCCAAACTTCGAGACACGGTTGCAAGCCGGAAAATTCGGGGGGCTTGCAATTCCAGGACCGTGCCAACGACTTTGCTCGGGCCAGAAGGACGGGAAACATGGAGGGATGATTGAGAGACAGCCCGCGGCTGATAAAACAGTGAAGACTTACATTTTTTTTCAAGCTGGATCTGCCCCGACTTGCTAAAGCATAACAAAGCAAATCTGCCCAGACTTGCTGAAGCAAGGTAGCTCATCCAACTAGTCGAACTATCACTGGGGGGTTGGAAAAAACGTAGCATTTGGCCCCATCTCAAATCTGACCAAACAGCTGGAAAATATATATATATATATATATAAAACTCGATTTAGTATAACGTGAGGCGAACACTTCTCCGTCACATCGAGGTTGCGTGTGGCTCTCATGCCCCATCCGGCCTTGCTTAGCAGCTGCCTGATCTCTGTGAGAGCTGCCTGAACCGCAAAAGCTTCGAACGAAGAAAGCCTGCCTATTCTATCCTATTCTGAGGCCTTAGCATTCTTGCCCAGGGAAAGGGGCCGGGTGATTGCTGAACCCCCTTCAATCCCCTCAGTTTCCCTGCGTTTAGGATATGAAGCTGGAAACAAAACTTTGAAGGGGCCCCCTCCTTTCTGCCTACCCATCACAAAACCAACAAGACAGAGCCCACGAACCCGAATGCACATCACTTTGCGCAAGCCCAAGAATATAATTAGAGAGAACACTTTGCGGTATAAGCCAATGGGGCTCGCAACCAAGCCTACTGTGCAAACTATGTTTTTCAGCTTGTAAGACTGTACTTTGCGTGCTCCACTTGTTGGTACAAAGCTACGATTTTGAATCTGGAGCTGGACACTTGAACACTTGCGCTTCGCGCGCTAGACTTGTACTACTAAGTTGCGATTCTCCAGCCGGAGCTGGAAAACTGAGCTTCGCGCACTAGACTTGCGCTACACAGCTGCGATTGTCCAGCTAGAGCTGAAAACCTGTACTTTGCGTACTAGACTTGTACTACAAAGTTGCGATTTTCGAGCTGGAGCTCAAATCCTGTACGCGTACTAGACTTGTCAAAGTTGCGATTTTCCAGCTAGAGCTGGAAACCGGGACTTCGTGCGCTCGGCTTGTACTACAAGGTTGTGATTTCCTGCTAGAGCTGGACTTCGCGTACCTGTGCTTCGCGTACTAGACTTGTACTACAAAGTCGCGATTTTCCAGCTGGAGCTGGAAGCCACTTCTGAGCGACACTTTTGAGCGACAGATCAACACTTCTGAACCGCACTTTCTCTGATCGACACTTCTGAGCAACAGTTCTGAGTGACACATGTTCTGATCGACTTTTCTGAGCAACACTTCTGATTGACACTTCTGAGCGACACTTTTGAGCGACACCTGATCAACACTTCTGAACCAGACTTTTTCTGATCGACACTTCTGAGCAACACTTCTGAGCGACACTTTTTCTGATCGACTTTTCAGAGCAACACTTCTGATCGACACTTCTGAGCAACACTTTTGATCCGCACTTCTGCTTGACACTTCTGATCGACAGTTTGAGCAACACTTCTGAACCACACTTCTCATTGACACTGATGAGCAACACTTCTGATCCACACTTCTCATCGACAGTTCTGAGAAACACTTCTGACCAACACTTCTGATCCACACTGCGCATCGACACTTCTGAACGGCACTTCTGAGCAACACTGCTGAATTGAGACTTCTGAGCGACACTTCTGAGCAACACTTCTGATCGACACTTCTGATCGACACTTTTGAGGAACCCTTCTCATCAACACTTCTGAGCAACACTTCCGACCCACACTTCTCATTGACACTTCTGAGCGACACTTTTGAGCGACATCTGATCAACACTTCTGAGCCACACTTTTGCTGATCGACACTTCTCAGCAACACTTCTGAGCGACACTTTTTCTGATCGACTTTTCTGATTAACACTTCTGATTGACACTTCTGAGCGACACTTTTGAGCGACACCTGACCAACACCTCTGAACCACACTTTTTCTGACCGACACTTCTCAGCAACACTTCTGAGCGACACTTTTTCTGATCGACTTTTCTGAGCAACACTTCTGATTGAAACTTATGAGCGACACCTGGGCAAAACTGCTGAACCACACTTCTGATTGACACTGACCGATACTTCTGAGCGACACTTTTGATCAACACTTCTGAACGACACTTCTAATCGACACTTCTGAGACACCGCTAATGGACACTTGTTATCGACACTTCTGAACGACACTTCTGTCTCCAAATGCGCACCGCGCCACTGCGAGATCGGTTCGACCCACCCAACGTGCGCAGAGGGTTCACTTCGTATGCTCAAAATGCGCACCGCGCCACAGCGAGAGCGATTTGACCCACGCAAAGTGCGCAAAGGGTTCGCTTCGCATGCTCAGAATGTGCACCGCGCCACAGCGAGAGCGATTTGACCCACAGTGCGGGT